ATGAAGATAAAGAATAAATGTGTGTATTAATTTATGTTTTATCGTTTATTTATTTTTAACTTCATTTTTAATTTCAAACTAAGTACACATTATATGCCGGTAGGTTTAGTGTTAAGTAACAATAATTTCATTTCTATGCAACAGATTTTAACTGTGTACATAATGAATTATTTTGGAAAATATTTCTGTCTTGAACTCATACGCGTTAGGTATTTTAGGCAAAGTAAAAGGAGTTCTTTAAGTTGTCGTTTTTGATGTCCAGTGAAGTACATATTCGGAATGAATATAAGTTACTAGAATACGCCGATATCTCTATTCTTAGCGTGAAAGAGAAATGTCAGATTGAATCGACCAATCTTTATTCATTCGGTATTGGATGTCAGTTTCAGTCGTATAATTGAAATTGCTGCTAATTTATGTAACATACGCTGACTGCCGTTCTGTTTGCGTGCTGATGATCGATATCCCTCAAATATAACGTAGTAGAATTAGTAAAAGGAAAGAGGAGAAAGATATTTAGTAGTATTATTACTGTTATCAGAATACTTGTATAAAACCCTGACCACTTACTCACGTATATTATTGTACAGGCTAAATCGTGCTACATACGACTTTTTGTCGGAGAATTACGCTTTCTTAAAATGGACCAAAACTCTCTACAAAATGGTCAAAAGTGTCGAAAGGTGATCAACGGAGGCTTTGGAGAACGAAGAGTCCCCTAATGTGCAGAAGCGAGTGTATACATACATACAATAGGTGTTAACTACATCGGTCAAACCAAATTCAAAGCACGACGCATTCGAATAAAATTTATAGATAGACATGAAAATTTTCCACCATGAAATGGTGTGCGTTAGAAATTAATGAATATGGAAATTGGGAAATGCAGAGATTTGAGGAATATGGAAATTTAGTAAATAGAAATCGGAAAATGCAAAGATTTAGAAGAGTAGGTAAAACTTCTATGAAAAAGAAGAAGAAGATTCGGGAATATAGGAATTGGAGAGTATAGATTTTTCTGAAATTTGCTATTCTTGTTATAAGATGGAATATTACATATTTTCAAGTAACTTTATCATTCGCATCTATCGCAATAAAAATGCATTTTGAAATTCTTGTTTTCATAAACTTGCATAAAATTTTCATGAATTTCACAAGGATGCATATATGCAAGAAAAGAGAGGTGCAGACATTTGAAAATTGTGAAATTTTATAGATATGGAAATTGGAGGACATAGACAGTTAACATTTAATAATTTTAAAAATACAGAAATTAGAGAATATAAACATTTGAAACTTCACTAATTGGCAAAAGGAATTCAAAAATAGAAAATAAAAAATATGTAAATTAGAAATTATATACAAATCTAACGCATATAAATGTAAATATAAATCAGTTTAGAAATATAGATATTTGAAAATGTACAGGTTTACAGAAGTAAACACGAATGTATACTTTTGAGATGTATAATTTTAGAAATGTAGAAATTTGCGAAAGCACAATTTAAAAATGCATTTTATGCTAGATATGAATAACAAAATTGAAAATATTGTACAAAATATTTAGTATTTCATTCAATAGCGAATATAGCACATTTCAGAAAATATTTCTGCAGCATCCAATGCATCTTTCTGATATATGAATTTGGCAGACACACAAAAGTTGTGACATTTGCATTCTATCACTGACAAAGAGTGCAGCATGCCAAAAATCCGAGATAACTAGACTGCTGACATTTATATAAATATATATTCTTTTCAACTATTCTTTTTATATAAATAACATAAGTTATTATTTCCTGTCTTGTAATAATAGTAGTAGCACATCCTTCAATTTTTAAGCATTGGAAATGGGTGCAAATTAAATCAAACTTTAATTCAACTTTAAATATAATTTGTTATATTATTTTAATGGACTTAAAAGAAAAACTATTTTTATACGAAAAGCGGACGAAGTGAGGACACGATGAAAAACTCGCTCGAAAAATCGTCAACATTCAGTAGAGTTTAAATGTTAGTATATTTAAATAAATATATAGTGTCTTTAAACTGAATCAATTTTTGTTAACAGAGTTTATATAATAGTTTGAAATAAACCAATTATTACGAATTATAACTATTTTTCTACTTTCATCCACTGGTCAAAATCAATTCTTTTATTTCGGTTGAATATCAACCCATTGTAAAAGATGACAAAAAAAGAGATGTTGGAAGCAATGAAGAATGGTGGCTCCAATTTTAAACTCATGCATATAGAGAAGGAGATTCGCAGAGGTCCTACCTACTTTAGAATGCAGTAACGAAATTATTGAAAAATCCAGAAATTATCTGAACACTCAAAATAAAAGTTAGGAGTAATATTTTTATTTTATTTAATTTAACCTAGTTGTTACTTATTATGGGACAAATTAAATCCATCAACTGCTACTATTAGTTATTGGACAGAGTATTTCAATTCGCAAGTTCTGCATATTTTACACATATTGAATGATTTACTTGGTTCCTTTTATATCTGCTATAGATATAACTTATATACATACATTTATTTGTGTTTATATTTACACATGATATGTATGCTATTTATACTCTGTCATGAAATAAATGTATAAACTATGTTATGCATAAGTACTTCAGCAACTTATACAACATACATTATTTCTCTTTTCTAAGAGTAAATGAACGTATCATTTTCCTAATTCATCTCGAAGTACAAATAGCTGCAAACTATCACTCAAAATGTTGAAAATATACAAAAATTATTTTTGTATATTGTTAATCATTCATTTCATATTTTACTACATAACCAGCAATTCTTTTTAAAGGAAAACTGTATTCTTCTTTAAAAGAGTTATGCAAGGTACCAATAAAATAAAAAACCGACCATAGCTTAAAACACAATACAAAGAAAATGCAATAAATAATCGTATTATGAATTTTAGTACGTATAACGAAATAATGAATAGATTTTTCCTCTACATTTTCTAGCGTGTGGTAAAATAAAATTTTCTTGTTCCGTAGTTTGTCTGCACAACGACGGAAGAGAAATTGAATAATTTCACTTTGAAAGTGTTCAGAAAATACCTTTTAGCACGCAATTAATTTAACTGTATCAGAAAGCACTTCTTTTTTAACGAAAATTATTGCAGAACGTGTCGAGTGTTTTCGAGCCAACTAGTTTGTTCATTGTTTGGCGAATATTGTAAGCATTCACAATTCTATATCGAATCAGAATGACGATAAACGCAGTGTCGAAACGTAATTTCTAACGAACCTCTCATGATCCGCAACAGCATGAATCTCGATAATGATGCCTCATCATGGTCCCATTCAGTTCCATTCCTCCAATTTCCAACGGAGTTCAAGAACCGACGAAAAGGCTAGCGAATAATGAAAGGAATACGGATATTCCATTGACAATCGATGCACATCGAATAGACTAACAAAATCAATTATTATTATCTACGTTTAACAAGTTTAACCTTTTTTTAGAAACCCTAAATAAAATTTAACACTAGATTTATGCACATTCGCTTATTTATATTTAAATTGAAATTAAAGTAAATAGAAAAGACTGATACATAAACTGGCTTATACAATGATTCTTTGTCTCGATAACAGTTAACATATTTTTCCAAATTGCTACATTTCTGTAATTTAAAATAAAAAGATTCGCCATTTTAATGGATTAAATCTTGTGTAAATTTAGTATTAATATAAATCTAGAGTTAACATGAGTGTAAGTTCAATATTAATATTACTGATAATCTGGTGTCAATATTATCTCTGAAAAGAAACAACATAATTTTCCTTTCATCAGATTTTATATGAATATTATCAATTGAATGTTATTTTCATGCCTGTTTGGGTAAATTGTTTCCTAGAGCTAAATACCAATGAATTCGCTTCGCAACGTTTAAATAATTAATAACAGGAGATCACATGAATTTTGAAATAATTATATTAAATTAAAGCATTATACTGAATTTAAAGGTCTATAGCAACAGATTCCATAATCTAAAGCATAATTGAATGACATTTTTCTTAGCAGTTTACCTAACAGGACTTTTCACCTGTAAGTTGCGTGTGACAAGCTTGAAAATTTATAAAAATAAAAGTCACGGAGTCTTTTCCTTTCAGAAAATAACGTTAATTAATATGTAGAAGGGTATGCAGAAATATAATATTAATACAGAAAATGATGTCCTCTGACAAATTCATTTTCTAATATTTGAAGTTGTAAACTCTAAATTCATGGTGTAAACCGATATGTAAAGCAATTAAATATTCTTCGAACCCTTCGGTACGAATTTCAGCATTCATAAAGGTAATTGAAGTCACGTTGATTGCTATGAAAATTGCTGATTGTAGCGATGTTGACATGTGCGTGGGTGCATGTACGCGCGATTTGTTTAAAGGGAGGCATAAATCTGAATCAAGCGGTGGATTACCCTCGTCGAGATAATTTATCGTTGTTTTAGGGCTGTCTGTCTTCGTTTCTGCCACAGTTTTCGCCGCACAATTGGCATGGGAATATGACTGATCATTCATCCCTTCGATCCACGAATAGACAAGTCTAGTGATCAGATTGTATATTGATGCATTTATGATGTATTGAAATGTGTAAAATATACACGAACCAGATGCCATGTCTAATAAATACAATTAAATATCCAAAAAGATACAGTATTTTTAAATGATTACAGTTTTATATAGTTATACTGAATTTTTGAATGATTACAGTTTCATTCCATTTAATAATGAGATCATATACATTGCTGTTAAAAATGTATTTGATAAAGTAGTCTCCGAAAACAAAACCATCCATAAACGAAACTTCACCACGTTATTTCTTAATTTTTTACATATAATCTCCTACTATTTCTTATGTAAAATTCCTTTGTAATTACACAACTTCCTTCAAAACATTCCGCGGCAACAAACGAAATTAATCGAAACTTAACAGTAACTTTTAATTAACTGTATCGTTTCTTTGCTTGCAGATGGTGTTAGCACTCATGCTTTAGTAAAAGCAAAAAGGTATCGGGAAACGAGGCAGCACGATGTGGCGCATATTGGTCGTCGCAGTCTTGCTGGTGGCCACATCGGTGGGTGATAAGGTGGTGGTTTTGCCCCACGATGTTTACCCGGGCTATGAGGTGACGTTATTCAACACGAAACGCCCGTCGAACTTCCACCTAATGGAGAATGGTTTCTCCAAGTTTTTCACCGTATTGGGAAACGGTCTGGTGATGACCACGTCCGATTTGTCACCGTTGGTCGACCGACCAGTGAACCTTATCGTCGTCGAAGAATTGGCCAACGGCACCGAGACACATTTCCTCCATCTCTACGTGATTAATCGCAGGAACATGATCACCTTCTCGCACGATCACCTCGGTGATGGGGAGGTTCTGGAGAATTCTGTCGCTGGCACCTTGATCGACGGTTTTCCGGTTCTGAGAGCTCGGGGAAGCTTCCCGGTCCATTACACGATCCTTCCGGATGAGACTGGGGATCGTCCTTTCGCTCTGCAAGAGGAAGACTCGAATCACACGGGATTCAACCTGACGTTGAACAGTCAGAAGGACGGTGTCAGGGTGGTAACAGCGAAACCTCTGGACCGAGAGACCAAGAAGCTCTACACGGTGGCGATTCAGGCTTCCGATGGTTATCTGCTCAGCAGCTCCCAGATCAATGGCATTGTCCATGTGTTGGACATGAACGACAATAGCCCCGTGTTCGAGAAGGAATTGTACACGTTCGAGATCAGACCGAGCAACGTGGACGCCATTCACAAGAACTCCGTCACGCTTCCTGGATGGGAACGGTTCTCTGTGGTGGGCAAGGTCGTTGCGAAGGACGGCGATGGCGATAAGGTTGCGTACAAGTTGCTCACACACAGCAGCCTTTTGGTGGTGGTACCTCAAACGGGAGAACTGATGCTAGTTGGCGAACCGGATGTCACGATGGACGAAGACAGCGAATACGTGGTGATCGTTGAAGCACACGATGTACGAAGTCCTAGTCGAACGACGGAAAAGCCGGCGAAGGTTATTGTGAGATTTTTGACCTCGCAACCGATGGAAGTCGAAGTTCATCGTATACAAAAGCGAAGGGTGACCAGGGCTGTCAGACCGACGAAGAAGGTGGAATTCACCGAGGCGGACGGCGACGTAGAGGGAAAAATAGTGTTTTATTTGGAGAAGGAGAACGAGAAGGAGGTTTACAAGATTAGGGATGAAAATAAGTGGGTCAGCGTCTGCCCAAATGGATCCGTCGTAGTGAAACAGAAATGGGATTACGAGGAATTGGGCTCGGAAAAGACCCTCGATTTTTGGGTGACCATCACGAACACAGGTAATGTATATATTTTATTTATACTACTTTTGCCTTCATTTCTTTTTTAGTCAATTACACGTTGAGTACCTTGAAAGATGTAACGTTCGTGATAAGTGTAAAAACATCAAAATTTTAATTCTGATGTTCAATTATAGATAATTATATGATTCTGTCGTATACTAAACAAAATATTGTGAAGATAGTAATTAGTAAAAAAAATTAATTGAGTAAATATTCTGTCATTGTTAACATAAACGTGTTACGAACATTGTTTAATGAGTTCTTAGCTCGACAATGCAAAAGTTGATTCTAAATTTAAAATTAATTTTATTTTTAAATATAATTTTTAATTGAGTCGCCATGTATTACATTTATCAATGATAAATATTCAATTAAAAAGTAAAATACATCTTGACGCTAACAAGCCTGTGAATTTATTGGACTACCTTCGTACATAAATTATTTATAATTAACCTAAAAATCGGTAATAAGCAGTATTGGCCTAAATTAAGAAAATATGTTTTTAAGTATAAAATAAAATTTTAGTACGTAATATATTTTATGTGACATTGTGACAGAATTTAAAGATTGATTTTGTATTACACGTTTTTTTTCTCTTGTATTATATTAACTTGAAGAATTGATCCATTCAGTATTCAACGTGTTAAACAGGAAAAATACATATAAGTATATGTTCACAATATTTCTTTGTTTGATTGGTCACTCAAGTCTGCTTCCCTATACTTTTGTTTTTAGATTCATTTGTTTGAAAAATTAAGCTTTATTTATAATAGAAAAACATTTTTTGTTGACTATGAGTAACCAACTTAATAAGATCATTTTACTAGTAATGTTGTTTCGTGCCTTTCTTATGCGAACAAATATATTTTGTTTCAATTGTAACTGTATATAAACTATTTAAGGACTATTTATATTTAGTTTATAAACCATTATTTTGGTGTATGCCCTATGTACATTATATTACAGTTATATTAATTTAAAATAGTTATGTTATTCATACACTATTTATATATATTGAGATTCATTAACTGAAAAATAATTAATTGATGATTATTAATTTAGTACTTATAATCCTATAATAATCTTATTATTAGTTTTATAATTTAAATAATGGGGTTACGAATGGTATAGTTATTATCAAATTATATATTACGAAAATTATTTACGATTGTACACTAGGTAGCATATTGTAATTTGCTTTAAATGCAATTTAGTCTTGTTACGTTCAAATTTGAGCCTGGCTTTTGCTTATGTTGCAATAATATAACATTTCTCACGTAATGCAATAAATTGTACTTAAAACATATTTTCGAGTAACAAATAATTTGAATAAAGCTTTATAAATTAATCGATAGATTACATTTGTAGATTTAAATGTATGTATATCACTCCACATACTGAGATTTTCCTCAGAATTTTTTTTAAAATAACTACTTTTATTGAGAGAAGGCACCAGTCGTCTTTGAAATTGAATCCAGTATTTTTAGAAAATCTTAGACTTTTACGATTCCGTGTATGATTGAAACTGTTTGTGGCTTTCGCGTGTAAACCATGTCCTTTAAGAAGATATTCTCAACGTTTCGCCAGCATTGCAGCTGTGTACTTTCTTCAGGAGTTAGAAGATGTAATGAGCCCTGAAGAGGCAGCTGCAATACTGATGAAATGTCAGTAACATCTTCTTAAAGAACACGGTTTACACCCAAAAGCCACAGTACAAAATATTTTCAATCACGTACAAAGTTAAGAATAGTATGTATCTCTGATTAATAAACAAGATATGAAAATATTTGTAATATATATTTCATGTTATGCGTCACAACATTACTTATAAAATGATCTAATATTTTTAACAAGTTAAAAGTATCAAGCTGTTTCATACATAATTGTATTAGTTAAGATAATTTTATGAAACAAATTTTATGAAGTGGTACAAAAATATTTTATGTCACACTATTGAGTAATAGTGTGGTCGTATAATACAAAATCACTAATCTAATTTGTGGAAATTCTAATTTTATTATGCGACAGTTTGGTAATGGTGTTTATTTAGAATTTAGAAACACAATTACAGGATGATTCTAGATAACATAACAACTTGTAGTACTTCAAAAAAGGAACCAAGAGTGTTTAATGAAGTTGGAAGACCAACTTCATAAATTAATTCATTTTAATGTTTCTTTCCACAAGATCTTAATAATGTTTCGTGAAATAATTTCGCTTCAATCTTTCATGGTTAATTTACAATAACAAATGAAATCTATTATATTTTGTTTAATTTTGAATAGTATTATAACCACATTATAAATAAGATTAGCAAAATTTGAAAAATACTGCGATGAAAAATTTTATTTTATTGAATAATAGTTGTGTATTATCATTTATTTGTTTCTTGAATATTTTTACTAACTACATTTTTATTTTTCATTACAATGTACCTTATGTTGTAATTAAACAAAACTATTTTTCAACATAATCTATAAAATCGTTCACAAAAAGTATTCATACAAATACTTTCTTTACAACTATCTTTCTCGTTCTTATTACAACAGCTTGTTGCTAGAATCATCCTTGATACCATGTTATCATTTCTTTTAATTAATTTTTATTTTGTTGTTCGCCCCGTGGCCGAAGATCGTTGTTCACGGTACCCGCCGTATATCCGGTGTCCATTCCACGGTACAATTTTTATTTTTGTTCAACATTTTATTTCGAACACACAGTTCACACATCGTCCATCAGCTTATGTCCACGCTGTGGCTCGGTTCTTCACGCTGAATTTCTTCTCCATGGGGATGGAATCCTACGCTTCTTAAAACCTATACAGCTTGCACGATCATGTTCGATCAGAATCAATCACGATCCGACATACGTAGTTGTACATTTGTGTTGGTAAGGAAACACTGCGAGAAATCTACAGAATGCGGTTGAAAATTATGTACTAACAGTTACAAAGTGATTCTTCATGAAAAATCGGGGAAAAATACTGGATACAACATTTTATCTAATATTTAGCTTTTAAATAAAATATACAATGTTCATAAAAAATTTTACATTTTTTTTATAAAAAATAAGTGTAATATTTTTCACGGTGATTTATTTATTTCTACGTTGATCGTTCTTTTATATATATTTTTTTTATGCATTAACATGTCGCTATGTCCGAAATTTGTAAAGACTATTGTTCCCAAAATTGCTTTCACACCTTGACTACCACGTCATCTGTATATAGGTGGGTTAAATTTTCATACGAGTCTATATTATTACTAGTTTATTCATTTATCTGGTAGAAATTACTCCTGTTAACTATTTGAAACTATGAGTAATAAATATGACAAAATATTCAGTATTTGTTAAAAATAACCTATTCAAATTTTCAATTACTTCAGCATTATAGTGAACGTGTTAAAAGTTTTACCTTTTAGATAAAATTGATAGAGATCTTCCAATAATGAAAGTAATCGAAAGACCTGTATCTGATCCTCTCCTCATAAGTCTCGAATGAAAAAGTGTGCATTCATATTGTTTTAATCAGTTAACTGTGGCGATCTTTTTGCAAAGCGCGCACCAGTGTATGTCGCGATAATCAAGCGATGACGAGTTGGCTCTCAAGAATTTATGAATCCATCTCAAATCATTTACACTTTTTATTTGTTTATTTCATTTCGGGTTGACCTCTAAACATTTCAAACATATTACAATTTATGAATATAATTTAGTTTTCGCCAAAATTACAATTTAAATATCAAATTGTAACAAAATTTTACGCATGACGGATATAATCGTCGTGACACAAAATTCTGCCACATCTCCATGACGGATATAGTCGTCAAACATACTTAACTGGTTAAATATTTCTCATAACGAATTATATTTAATCAGCCACGCCTTTGTGCTATAATGTTGAGATTCCGTGCGAAAGTTGTTCTGCTCGCACGTGGGTACAATTTCCTTTCGGAACCGGGGTAATTGTTCGAACGTGCACCTCGTATCGTGGGTCAAGCGTTAATTACAGTTTCGCCTGGAAAAATGAGCGGGACGCGTGTTACGCATGAAGAGACCGGAAGGAATTAAATTACACCGTATCCCGGTGTGTTAACGTTATTTAGTGACGCGAAATTATTACGTTGTCACAGTTTTCAGTATTACAGCGTTTTAATTAACTCACCTACACTGTTCTATCTGGATTGATCCAAAATGGACATTCAGTGTTTTGCAACTTTTTAATCAGATACTGTATTTGAATGCACGGCAGAACAGTGATGAAAACTGAGTAAAGTAATTATTTGCTTCAGTGAGTCTCTGATTTTCACGATCCTGAAGTATGTTTGTCAAGAATATTGTTCTGAACATTTTTCCTCTATACAGGTTATCGTCGGTCGGCCTTCGTTTCCGAGATATTCGCAAAAATAATTTTATGTTCGAGTTTGCCTTGAATCAAGTTGAAGATAAAGTATTAAACTTTGTTTTCAATTAGTATTAATAGAGATTGTTATGGTAAGACGTTATTTATTCCAATTTCTAATATAAGAAATATTAAGTTTTCTGGAACAAATTTAATGTCTTTCTAATACTTAATTCAACTTATTACACCGTGGATTTTCGTGCAAGCGAGAAATCAATTAATTCGGTATAATCTAATGGATTTTCAACGAATTATTATTTGACGAACATAACAGCTAATAAGTACAGTTTTACCCAATTTTTAGTATAGCTTATAATGTGATATTTGTTATTACTGTTATGTCTTCATATATTTGCTCCATCTTCCTTCTTTTTATCATAAAACTACAAATATACTGAACTATTTTAGTGTATTATTGCAATCTTAATTGACGTTTGTGACACTGATATTACAGTTCATTTGATTGTCATACGTGACAGTCGACATTGTCACATTATAACTTAATAATCTATCTATTATCTATTCTTGCTCAATTAAACTAGATTAATAAACCATACTTCTTGCTAGAGAAATTATAAGTTCACTTCATTTTTAGCGATCTGACTCCCATAGTATGTATAACAAAATGATCTACACATTCTTCAAATATCACTAAAAATAAATTCAACGATTTAATAATCAAAAACTGTCACCGATGGAATAAATTGGCAAAAATGTAATCAAAAGTTTTGTTAAAAGCGAAATTCTCCATTTACTCAGTTTAAAGAAAGAATAAACTCCTTTGTTTCGATTAAATAAAATTTGCAATTGGAAGTACACTTTTCACAAATAGCATTCATAATAAGAACATAATTCATTGTGCGTGTACAAATTGAAAATTTTTCCTTATAATCTTTGTTCTACATCTTCATGTAATATTACAAAAAGAAAAAGTATTATTAAAATGAAATGAAATAATTTTGAACAGCGATGTGCAAGGATGTTTCGATGAAAATCGAGCATTCGTATTTTAATGAAGCAGTTTCTGTGTCGGAAAAATGACATCTGAAAAACAGTTAAATAGTAGGAGGTAGAAATGAACGAGTTTCAAATTACGTTATTGCTGTCTCAGCGATCTCCCGTGCATTCATTACTTTCATGCTAATGCGAGATATATATAAGAAGTACAAAACGACTTATGAAATAAATAGACAACTGTGACATCACTTTTTATCGTTATATATATATGTATACACCGTCACTCTGTATGCGTTTCAATGCGCTTAAATAAATTCCTTAATGGCTAGAAAATTAAACGAAAAGAAAAAAACAAAAATGAAATTCCGTTACTAATTTCTTGCCGTGTTTCCTTATCGTTAATTATTTATGCTTTTATTATTACTCTTACTAATGATAAATATTTTCTTTTCCGCATTCTCGGCTTCCACAGGATTTCAATGTAAGTAGAACCACGTGTCACCTTCATTTTCATTTATTTGCACAGTCACTTCTTGCATATGTATGCATACAATGTAGCATTATAGCTTTTGGTAGTTGAATAGTTCACGCAGAATGAGTCACATTTTGCACCGAATATTTAACCCTTTCGCTATGACCAACGCACAAAGATATTCATCTTTGAAAATGAATATAGTAAACTTGTTTAGGGAAAATAGTAGCGCAGGGGAAACAGCCTCCAACAGTTCTTATAATATTTAGAATACAAAGTATTTACGGGTACATATTTAGGTGTAAGGGATATTTCTTTCAAATTTTTCAGTGACGGAAATTTCAAAATTAAAAATTTATAACTTCACAAAATGACAAGTCTATTGAAATCTATTAACCTACAGATCTGAGAATTTATACATTTACTAATTATAAATTTACAAATTAACAAATTGACAAATTGACAAATTCACAATTTCCTAAATTTAGAAATTGACAAATTCACAAATTCACAATTTCCTAAATTTAGAAATTGACAAATTCACAAATTCCTAAATTGATAAATTCACAAATTTACAAATTTATAATTTTACAAATTGATAAAATTATAGATAAATTGATAAAGTTACCTACTTATAAACACTCTAGTTGACAAATTTAGTAGTTTAGTAGCTTACAGATCTATAAATTTACAACTTTGCACATTTAAAAATTTGTAAACACAAAAATTCACAAATTTTCAAATTCCAAAATTTCAAACTTTCACATCCCCAAATTTTCAAACTTTCAAATTCGGAAATTTCTACACAACCTAACTTCAGATTTCATTCTAAAACGACACCATACTCTTACAATTCCATACTTGTCTTTCTTCAATCCAACACTTTTCTGAAAGTACTGAAAAAACATCTAATAAAATAATCCTTCTAGCTGACTAAAATAAATTTAATTTCAATTATCCTGCTTTAAACAGTATACCTGTCCCAATATTTCTCTGATCCACAGTACACCCCTTGTATAATTATTACCGATTATATAATTGCAACTGTTATACTGAAACTATACAAATAAATAAGAAATATCTGCTTTAGAGAATACTAAGCGTACAATATCGATTGCTGCTTTGCATACAATGAACAATTTTCGGCTGTGCACCATATCGAGAGGGTTAAATAGATTTCAGCTTACTATGCAGAGTGCTGTGTCATTGGGTTGACAGTGTTTATGGGCGGTGATGGAACAAGATTTAAGTGAATAAAGTGAATTCTTTTCACAATGAAAGCTTTCGTGATAGGATGCTTGACTCTGTAGTAAATCGGTCAAGAGAAGGCTTGAACGCTGTTCCAAATCAATTTCGCAGAAGTTTGTTCATCGCGAAAATTAATTAAACCTCTCATTCATGTCGACGCTTGTAGATTTTTTCTATTGTTGCGGTCATGGAGGAGTTCTATACAACATGGTACAGACATCTGGAACAATTATTTCATTTTTTATAACGGTTTCGAGCGTTCACGATTGATTTTATCTCTTTATGAACCCGACATCCTTTGTTATTTACAAATGAAGAAAAAGTCGTTTAAGTTTATTACCTACACAAGTGAAGATATACTATTTTCAAATATCTTGAAAAAAGAAGTTATTTCTGTAAAATTAGTTATGAACCGAAATTCACGAAAGAGTTGAGAGACCAGAATAAATCGATTCATGGTTTTATTGAATTACAAATAAAGTGAAACAGTGTGTAGTGGATTTTCTGTAATTTTCGAACGAATAATATATCTTATAATAATTTTCAATAGAGCGTTTTACTTTTTATAGATTAAATAAAGTTAAAGTCTTCATAACCTACTCACGTGTAACTTGATAGATTCGTCATACAATAATAAAGCTTCCGACCGATTTAAATCTGATGACAGATATTTGAAGGAAAACCTCCCGAATAAATATCACGTTGTTTCGCACTGGTATTAAAATAACAGTTATTTATACAGAATCTTTTGCAATATCAGTTCGAACGTCATTGAAAACGCACACAAGCAAATCGATTGTGGCACGCTTGAATTGGAGCGTCGTGTTACAATATACATATCGAGAAATTTCATTTCGAGATTCACGTTGAATTTAACAGGTCAAAGGTCAAAGCGTCCAACGAGATAATGTCAAATGCCATTCGACCACCGCCTTTGAACACTGTTCACCGATTCCCGCCATTATGGGTTCACGAGTGAATATCAATAATCGATCGATGATTACAGACACGGACAATCAACGTGTTATTATCAGCATGAAAGACGTTAACGATGAACCACCATACTTCATAAATCGGCCTCTACCAATGCAAACGGTCGTTCAGCTGAATGCACCACCGAATACTCACGTGTTTACCCTTCAAGCCAGGGATCCTGACACTGACAGCAATATTCATTATTTCATAGTACGAGATCGAAGTACGTATAAATTAGATATCATTTATTATTTTATAAGCTCATAATTACCACTTTAGAAGTCATATGTTTTCTATCATGTATCGAAAGGGATTATTCGTATACACGTTACTTACTCGTGCTAACATTTCAAACGTATATTTATTAAGTAGCTATTCAGTATTTTTATAGGTATTAAATACTGGTTTTAAGTGCATATAGTCTAAACTTTTATTTATACTATAGAACAGAACAGTAATTTAAAATTTATTGAAATAAGGGAATATTTAAGATTTTAATACTTGGGACGTAGTATATTTTTCCTAAATAGCTATCAAGTACTTTTATATTTGTTAAATATTAACTTCAAGTGTATTGTATAGTTTGAACTTTTATTTATAGTATAGAACAGAATAGTCGTTTAAAACTTATTAAAATAATAGGATATTCAAGATTTTAAAACTTGAGACGTTGTATATTTCTCCTAAATACCTACGGAAAAGTAGATTCTAATCAATAAGATAGCTTCAACTTTTATCCATTCTATAAAATAAAAGTAGCAGTTTAAAATTTATTAAAAGAAACTAGTAGTTTAAAATACTAACGCCTCGAACGTTGTACATTTTTCTAATCAATTACTAAATATTAATTTCAAATACATTACGTAGTTTGAACTTTTATATGACACATATAGTAAACTAGTAATTATAAATTTATTGGAACAAACTAATAATTTAAAATTTATTGAAACAAGCTATTAGTTTAAAATTTATTAAACCAAACTGGTAATGCAAAATCTGTCAAGAGGAACTGCTCGATTAAAATTTGTTAAAACGAACAAGTAATTTCAAATTTGTCAAAACAAACTACTAGATTAGAATTCATTAAAATGAACATGTAGTTTAAAATTCATTAAAACAAACTGCGAGTTTTAGTACATTAATGTATAACTGAAATAATTAAACGTTACAGTTGAATAGGATATGTTACACACGTAATTTTACCATATAATAAGCATATATGCTGTAATGTAACGTGTGACCGAGATATTTTAAGGTATTTAGTGTCAAAATTTTAATAGAATTTATAGATCTTATTAGTAAGTAAGATTTTAGAAAGTGGCTGTGGAATAGATGGCTTAACATTACACGAGTTCAAATTTCTTTTGATAAACTTCAATTTTTTGTCAAATTATACAAGTATATTTGTGAATTAGAACATGGTATAAAATGTACAGAACATAATAATTTTAAAATTTATATTTTTTAGATACAACAAAATTGATTATAGATGCAATAAACTTGACTTTAGATATCTTTTTTGTATTGAACGCTATTTTGTATTCATCTTTGCAAATAATTGGTATTATTAAATTTTTATACAGAATTATTTTAAATTCTTCTACGAAGAAGCAGCAAACAACCGTGAAATGATCACTAATTAATAATTTTGTATTCAGAACATTGATAAAGAATTTGTATTATCATTTCCAGCGTACGTTCCTCTGTAAAACAATATAAAACAATTATTATCTTACGATTCTTATTTAATTGTGTCAAACTTTTAAAACTTATAAATTGGTCATTGTTTCCTGTAACTCTTATCTAGCTATAGTGCATTGAATTAACGATTGATTTATACTTTATAAACTTTGAATTTTCAATAAAAATGCTTCAAATTGATATAGGATAAGCATTACTTTATGTTTCTACATTATCAAATTATATTAATGTTTTAATATTTTGAATATAACAAATATTAAGTCATTATTTTCGTTATTTTATCCGCATCTATATATTAATGAACATAAAATTTGGTTGGAAGATAACGTTTCGGGCAGTGAAGTATTAAATTCCAACGTAATAGAAATTGCATTTATCGATTGAATATCAAATATCTATCATGGAATTGAATAGCTTTATTTACTGTGCGCGTTATTACAGTGAATAGAATAATTGCACTTTACTAAATTACAATGGAGATTAAATTGAATGTGACATATTTTATTTTAACAAACCTCAAAATGTATGGAATTTTTTATCGTCAAATGTCATTTATATCATGCAGATAAACGCAGGTTAGATCTTCAAAATTTTATGTAAAATTTTGTTAAAAAATAATTTGAACTGAATTTGAAATAACTTGAACTTGGAGTAATTTAAACCTGAAGTAATGTGAAGTTGAAGCAATTTAAAGTTGAAATAATTTGAACTCGAAATAATTTGAACTTGTAGTAATTTGAAACTGCAGTAACTTGAATTTGAAATAATTTCAACCTGAAGTAATGTGAAGTTGAAGTAATTTGAATTCAAAATAATTTAAACTTGAAGTAATTTGAACTCGAAATAGTTTGAGTTTGAAGCAATTTAATATAAAGTAAATTGAACTTGAAATAATTTATCTTGAAATAATTTAAACAGAAATACATTGTCTCTAATATCAAAAACACTATGTACGCTTGAACAATCGATTCAAGCGTATTAAACTGCTTCAATTTTAACGTTTCCACTGTTCAGTCACAACACACTATAGTTTTCTAAATAAACACCAATAAACGAATCTCTATTATTTTCAAAAATCGAACAGAAACATTCAAATTTAATACAGAATTTTATCACGATTCAAATTCTACAATTAACACCGATAAAAGTCTATTCAATTGGTTATATAATAATTCCAATCCATTCAATATAGAACGAAATAAAAAATTCGGTACAAAATAAAATCAAGGCTGCTTGGTACGAAATAAAGTCAAAATCATTCGGTGCAGAATAAAGTCAAAACCATATGGTATAGAATAAAATCAAAATCATTTAATACAGTATAAAATCAAAATCACTCAATAGGACAACGTTATTCAAATTGTGTGCCACGGTCCACTGGGATTCCACAGATTGGTCTAAAGGGCTCCATAAATATACACTCCTCACAGAACAGGACAACTGATTGAACTATCAACAGATTCTATGTTTAAATACAAATATGAACGAGATCTTGATTTTTGGTTGAAAATTCACACAGAATGTCCCGAAATTTTGCAAAAGCTAAAAAAGCTTTAATGCACTTCGTTGTAAGATATTTATGCCAATTGTCGTTTATATGTCCGCATAAATTAAAACACAGAAATAAATTGCATGCTAAACATCAAATGCGTTTACAAATAACAATGGAACCTAACTTTATAGTTTAGTGCAAAACAAGTCAAACTCATTAAAATTGAAAATTTTATTTGTACATATTAGCTTTATAATACATGTTTAACCTTTAGCATAATAAAAAAATGTTCAAACGTTTTCTATATACACTATCTAGATTGGGAATATTCTATCCTTTCTGATCATGGGTTGCAATAATTTTATACTCATAAGACCTTAAATGGACAAAGTTTGAGGACCACTGCCGAGAATTAAATAGTCGTACAAAATACGAAACAGTTACAACAGAGAAGATAATGAAGAGGGTCTATAAAGAAGTAGGAAAAATAAAAAATGCCGGGTTAATCGAGCCTCGTTGTTCTTTTCGTTGAGTGACAAAGGGGCCAGCTTCCTCATGAGCTGGTTTCTATGAAATATCCACAGGATTCCCGCATGAAACATCGTGTCCCCCATTCGGTGTCAGTCGCCATAAAATAATCCCGCTGAAAAATAAATGGCTCACGTTTTGTCTTACAGCTGGAGGCCGTTTCGAGGTAGACGAACGATCCGGAGTTGTACGCACCCGGGGGACCGATCTCTTTCAGTTGGACATGGAATATGTTCTGTACGTGAAAGCTGAAGATCAGAATGGCCGTATAGACGAGAAGCGTTTTCAGTCGACTCCTGAGGAGCGTTTATCGATCGTAGGTGGAAAACGAGCACCGCAATTCTACATGGCCGCGTACGACGCTGAAATACCGGAAAATCAGAAGAAAGACTCCGAGTAAGTTGAAGCTAACCTAAAATTTCGTTACCGCGAACACTGCTCGAATTATAATCGGTAACGACATCTATTCAATATGAGTGTTTGCATCGCAAATTGTTACAGCAGAACGTTCCTATGAGAGATTGGTTCTACAATGTACCGCCAATAGCTGCGGACCCTATTATGCACATTCTAATGCAACATCTGGTTTCTCTCGATCTGGTTTATCGCGGTTATTGGACATTTGAACATTTTGGGATTGGGTAAAAGATTAGAGTCGCAGGAATTTTGTCTGTTTGGGATTTGGGGATATAGGGACATTGAAATTTAGAGATTTAATTCTTCTGAAGTTCAGATATTCAACGATATTGAAATTTAAAGATTTAGGAATATTGGACTAGATATTTTCTGTCTAGAGATCTTTATATAGCAACTCATATCTATGAGTTTTAGATGTGGAGATCATTGTGTTCGACGATTTTAGGATCTTGAGATTTTGAGGTTCGGGGTTTGAGTTTTTAAGAATTTGGGGATTTGGTGATTTGGGAATTTAGGGATTTGGTGATACACGGTTTTCAGAATTTAATAATACAAAAATATTGAGATTTGAAAGTTTAAAAACTTGGAAATTTTGAAATTTAGGAATTTCGATATTTAGATATCTAGGAATATACAGATTTCACAATTTTCAAAATTCAATAATCCTCCAGCTCTGGAATTTTCAAATACCCAAATTTCCAAATTCTCACATTCCCAATTTCGCAGAATCCAAAATACCAAAATTTCCAATTTCTCAGAATCCTAAATTCCGAGATTTTTAAATTCCCGAAATTTCAAATTCCCAAATTCCCATAATTCCAAATTCCCAAAATTCCAAATTCCCAAAATTCCAAATTCCCAAAATTCCAAATTCCCAAAATTCCAAATTCCCAAAATTCCAAATTCCCAAAATTCCAAATTCCCAAAATTCCAAATTCCCAAAATTCCAAATTCCCAAAATTCCAAATTCCCAAAATTCCAAATTCCCAAAATTCCAAATTCCCAAAATTCCAAATTCCCAAAATTCCAAATTCCCAAAATTCCAAATTTGCAAAACAAATTTCGTTCCCAAATTTCGAAACTTCTAAACTCCCGAAATTCTGAATTTTCAAATTCTAAAATTCCACGTAATACATATGTGTAATATACATACACACATATAATACATACATGCAACACTTACACATAACACACACACACATGTGCACAATACACACATAGAATATAAGTGCATTATATTCAATACACGCATTCTATGCACATATGCAAACATAAAAGCCCACGATATGCATACTTATGTCTAGAATATCCCTATAAAATGTATACACTTTATCATCATAAAATTTACGAACTGAAATAAACATAGATTAGATTAATCTTACATGGGGTATCTTGCAAACGTTCAATCTTACAACCGTCAATATCAATGTTATTTAACGTTTCTTCACAAGCATGTACGCACAACGTTCCTTCACAAGTCGCACATTTTTAGTACACATTTGCATACTTCACGTGCATAAATGTCACACGTTCTCACGATATTTATCGTGCGTAAACATTTACAACCTTGTTATTTAAAGATATTCAAAAAAAAAAAAAAATAGTCGAACCTGTCTCCTTTGCATAAACCAGAATCTTCAACAGCCCAATCAACGTAAAGACCAGGGGTGTCTTCTCTGGGTCCAGCACCGAAACGGGGACTTTTTGGATCTGCACTGACTTCCACGGCGTGAATGGTAACTTGCGTAGAACCGGAGATGCAACTGCAAATCATTTTGACGATAATAAAAAAGTAAGATATGTGGCAAATATTCTTGTCAACAAAATGAGCTTTCCGTTAGCGACTAACTGTTTACTTCATTTCGCTAAAAATTATAAACGAAGCGATTTGTTGAACAAAATCTTTGGATATTCAAGTTGAAAGTATTTTATTTACTGGTTCAAAGATTGTTTTCTTATTAAGATTGCCGTTCATTTAATTACGATGTGATTGCAGATTTTTATTAGTCAATTTAGTCAACTACTGAATGTAGTGCAAGTTTATATGTACTCAGTATGATATGAGTATGTATGTGCGCGATATAATATAGGAAAGTATGTGGTCAGTATAATACAAGTACGTATGTACTCGAGATACATGTATGTACTCAATA